CTGGAAAAGGTTTCTCAATCTTAATTTATTTTGGGTAGTTTTCTCGTGAAATGTGAATTAATTGGACAAAAATCTATAACTAATTAAAACTTCACATGGAAAACTAACAGCTGGGTTTCTTGTAGTTTCTTTACCATGGGCATCTTCTGCATTGCAGAGATATCATATGCATCTGACTCCTTCAATACTAATTTAAGTAAATATATTTTGACCAAACAAATATATTTTTAACCTATATGGCTTTTATAATAGTATATACATACTGTATATATTTATTTTTCAAAAAAGTATGTGAATTTGAAGAAATGATTTACTACCGACGCTGTTTAATTTATTGGTAAATTTAGCAGTAATTAATTGAGATATTAACTACATATGATTTGGGTACCAAATCAGGTACACTGTGTAAGTCTGTCCATTTACAATGGAGCTTACCACTTTAGGCTATTGGACTTTATGATACATCTGATATACTATGCCAAATTATTTTGATAGACAATGGCGATTGATAGATCAATGTAATTTTTACCGAAATAAAATTCAGATAATGTATATTGATATCACTATTGAGATATATTTACAGAAACATAGACTATAGATTATTTCGGAAGTGTACAATTGAACCGAACCAATTCTTTTTTGACACAAGAGTATTAGTTAGTTTTACTCTTTTTTCGTCGGCTCGAGAATGGATCCTAGGAGAAATTCCCGAAACAAACTGCCCAAGTCAAGCAYATCGAACCCTCGAGCCCGGGGAAGAAAATCGGATCCGATGTCTCACGGACGCGGCTTGGAACCGGGAGACGAAACGGGCCGGACTAGGATGGGTCTTCTACYATCACCGGAATCAGATCAWAGCACAAGGATCCACCACCAAACAATACATCGCTTCTCCCTTGATGGCGGAAGCTTTGGCAATTAGAGAAGCTCTGATGCATGCAGRGACGGAAGGGATGACTTCCTTCRGCCTAGCCTCAGATTCGCAATCTCTCATCAAAATCATCAACACGAAGAGTCAAAACCTGGAACTATTTGGTATTCTTCAAGATGTACAACGCTTAGCTCTCGATCTAAAAATTGTGTCTTTTGAACATGTCAAAAGGTCACAGAACAATATGGCTGATGGATTGGCAAAATCAGCTTTGCTTTATGTATCAACCGAACCGGTTTAACCGGTCATTGAATGAAATTAAAACTTTGATCAAAAAAAAAAAAAGTCCTTCGATTAGTTCTGCAATGATTAAGTAGATAAAATTTATAGCATGCCCAACACTTTTCATCATGTCGCGCCACTAGCATTTTTATAAGGTCTTGTGAATAAAATCTAACTAATAGTAATACCAAAACTTTAATCTGTCATGTTAGTAGTATCACATTCTCCAAATATGGGTGCAGTATGTTTTCCCAAAACAACTATTAATAAACAAAAGAGATGCTATGAACAGATTATCCAATGAATTTGGAATGGAGAGCTACACTTGTGAAATGATAAGCATATTAAATACGGTTGATTACGATTCTTGATCATTATTTACAATTCAAGTTTGTTTGCTACATGATGCAATCACATTTCTTTTTAAGTACTTAGTCAAAAGTTGTGAATAAAATCAAAGATGATGTTTAAGATGAGATTTTGTCGTAACCGCATCTTAAACAAAAAGAAAATGTTGTGTACATGATATGCGATTGTTCTTTTTGTTTTAAACCATTGAAAATGTGAGACGGTATACAGTTTATATAGTTAAGAGTTTATCCACCAATACATTTCTGTTTAAAACAAATTGCGTTTCGAGGTGTTAATAAAAAACAAATTATAAAATATAAGAAAAATTGGCTAAGAAAAGGCGTATATTAGCCTTCCCTACAAATCCAAAGGATCTTTGTTTAATGATTATAAAATGTTTGTTTGTTCATTAGCATGCTAAAATTTGGATTATTATACACATATCCGGAGTTCCGGACAATTCCATTTGACTTTCTTTATCCTTTTGTCACTTTTTTGGCCGTCTTGTTTATTTTATTTCATAGGCAATTATTGAGAATTATTAATTCATTGTTCTGCATTTTTTCTCATATACAAACTAATAGAAAAGTGTAAATAACGCGCGTTTTCGTCCCAAAAAACAAAAGCACAGTAGATGTGTTCTCTTTAGTATCACTAACTACAAAGTAAGAAATGCTACTCTATGCCATATAGAGAACAGATTCTGAAATTATGAAGTCGATTATGTATTATATGTAACCTACTTAGTATGGAACACAAACTAATATTTCTTTTCCGGATTATATATATTGTTTCTTTTTACGATTTGTCGTTAATTAGGTAGGTGTGACTAACTTTTGTTTTCGAGCTAATGGCCAAATGTATAAGACATACAAATTCCCTCATGCAATCACGTGGAGAGGCCAATTGCAAGCTTGAGATTATGAGTATAGGCTTATATATATATAAAATAAATGATTTTGCAAAAGTGTCTTTGATGAGGTTCATGTTGTTTCTTTTTTTACAAGGTTCTTTTGATTCATAACGTTGTATCCATTCTTTTATTCAATCGGAAACCGTTTTGACAAAAACAAATTTAGTGCCAAACTATCACTTAGAGCATCTCC